TTGCTGAATGATTTAGTTAAACATGGTCATTTGAATTCAGGAAATCTTACTATTCTGCATGATACCATCAGCATAACTAAACATTTTGGTCTTCAACACAAGATTAAAGTATTACTACCGTCATTCCCGGATGTTGAGGAAGGAACCATTTCAAAACAATTCAGTCATCACAGACAAAAACTAATGAAGTGTGGAATGAACCTGACTCCAGACAATGTGACAAAAATTGATGGATTGTTTAACATGCCCTGTAAGGAGTATACCGATGGCTGGAGTATGATCACTGATCTAGAAGACAGACAGATAATCAGCGAAAAGAATATGAAAGAATTCACTGATTCATTAAGAAGCCTTGAAATCCATCCAGCATGCAATGCACTACAAGATGGTAATCCTCATTTTTTTTTTTTTTTAAAGAAAACAGGTTGTCGTGTGGGCCATTTTATTTGAAAATTTACTGTCAAAAAGGTCTTCTAAGTTTAAGCCTACACTCTTTGCATTTTATTATCATCTAATCTTTCTTTTCAATTTCACCACAACATTTTTTTTCTTTTATTTTTGCTTTTCCTTTTCTTTATTTTCTTTTTATATTTTCTTTTCATTTTCTCTCTTTTCTTCTTATATTTTCTTGTCATTTTTCTTCTTTTTATCTTTTCTTTTCCCTTTATTTTATCCTTTTTGTCATTTTCATGTAACATACTTTACTTTGAAAAAGAATATCTTTCAAATTATGCAGATATAATTTCAATCACATATTCTATACCGTTCATTCGACAAAATTTTAAATTAAGAGAAACATAATCTGATACGAGATACACTTTTTGCATGTTGTTTATTTATATATTTATTTAAAAAATATTATTTTATATATATTACATTCTCTTTTGTTAAGGGATCATTTTGAGACAAGTTTTTAACTTCTAATCTGATTCCTAAATCGTAATTTATAGCTATTAATTGTTTACTTTCACATATTTCGATTTGAGTAAATGTTACTGAATGAATACTTAACAGAGTAAACTTCAAATTTAGGTACAGTTAATTTGTGAATTCCTTTATCTTCTCTATAAAATAATTGGGAAAAAAAATCAAAAATAGATGTTATGTAATAATGATATTAACAAAGTGATCACATTTAACATTTATAAGGTGCTCTGTATTGTTGTCTTACAGTGCAGTCAACTGTTGAAAGTCAGGTTTAAGGAGGAAATTGAGCATGGGATAACATGACAGGTTGAATCACAAAATCGCAACATCCTAGATGTTTCCATGGATATGATGACAACATGGCAGGAAAAAACTACAATACTTGACTAATGAAATTGCTGTAACGGGGAGAAATGGCATAAAAAGTACTATGGCATTGCAGAGTCATTTTGGAAGGACCCAGATAGACTGCCTAACTTGGTGCAAATCCACAACTACAGGAACACAAAGCTGGCACATTCCCCCAACAGTAGAATGTCAAATAAAGAATTTGAAATTGAACGGAAGAAAGTGAGATTGATGTTGCATGCTGCAGGTGCTTCTTTAACTGACATCGACAAATATGAGGCACTAATATTTATCAACTGAATGCATAATTCTACTTTGTATTTGAATTTCTGCTGCAAAATATGAAGGCATGTGTTTGTTGTATATTTCTGTCCACTCACATGACATTGTAAAAATTTCAGCATCAAGCAATATTTCTGATTTTTAACTTGTCTGGTTTAATAGCACAACACTTTAGGTACCAGGGGTACACAATCACAACTTTACTAATTAGTGTTTACACACCAGTTGTAAATTGTAGCTTGCAGTGTCATAATGCAAAGAAATTGGACAGTACTGTCGTAGCATTGTTTAAAAATTACTTAAAACTTTAAATGTTTATGTGTGTGTTTATTAACGTTATGTTCTGTGGTATCAGCACCACTTTATGCTAAAGCTCCTTAATTTTATGAATAATAATGTGAAGCTCTATGAGCTTACATAATCATTACCTTTGTCATTCGATTATGGAACACGAACTCAGGCTCCTGGGGGAGTATTCCGTAAAATTTCGTAACATTTGCACATTTTGGCATTTAATCCTACCAGGTACCCACTTATACTCCTGGGTGGAGAGAAGCAATGCAGATAAAGTGCCTTGCCCAAGGACACAGGTGAAATGCACAGCGAGGGATTGAAACCCCAACCATGAGGTTGGGAAAACCATCCTTACTGCACCAAACCACTTCCATTAAGGGATGTCATTGTACAATAATAGGCAGTTTTTCCCGCACGACTTTAACCTTAAACTTTAACGTCAGTAACCAAAATGCATGTGATAGCTCCCCCCTTTTTGTAAACAAATCGAAGTACGCATGCGCAAACCCATAACTAACATACATCGAGCACGTAAAATCCTGAAATTAACGAAATTATGACGTCATCCGTTAACCTTAACGTCGTGCAGCGAAAACTTCCAATTAATGAAAATGTAGATTTTTGAACAATCAAAGCTTAATACTGTATTTATTGTACTTACTTGGTACTTGGCATTCCATGACAGGAATATCTGTCATTGACTGATAAACAGTTGACTATTAAAATACACTGCTGATATACTTATTCAGAGAGAGATCAGACTAGTGCTTTACAATTGACTTATAATTTAGTTTCTTATTAATTTACATACATGCTACTTATAGATGATAGTTTAATGTTGTGTATACTATGGAAACTGTTCCTGATAAATTGATGTCTATCAACCTGGCTGATTTTACTTGCCCTCTGGGGGATAGAAGAAGTTGTCTTCCTATGCACTTGTTCGAAGTGAGATTAAGCAAAAACAAATAAAACTTTTTTCACATTATAGATAGATTTTAAGTAGGTTTCAAGAAGAATCTAGATATTCACCAAGGAATTTAGCCCTTTAAATTATGTTTCCATCACCAACCACAGAATTTATGAAACAATAGTAGGTTTTTGAAGAATCAAAGCTTAACCTTTACTATGAGAGATCAACAAGAAATAAACTGTAGACATTTTTCAAATCAGGGTTGCTTTAAAGTGCTATGTACAGTATTCACATTATAGATAGAGTTTAAATAGGTTTCAAGAAGAATCTAGATATTCAATAAGGAATTTAGGCCCTTTAAATTATGTTTACAGTCACTAACCACAGAATTTAAGTGATTGATTTCATACAGGGGTATATTTTTATGGCACACACTAACAAGATTTTGATTTAGAAAAAAGAAGATATTTAATGCATATAAGAACATTTGTAATTAAGCAGTAGGGTGTACTGATAGCCCTTTTGTGTGCGCTTTGTTGTCATTTGTACATTTTATCACAATCTTTTGTAAAAACCACCATTTGGTTGAAAAGTGTATCATGCTGAAATATAAATTGATTTTACACTTTATTGATCATATACACATGCCATGACATAATATGTAATTATAACAACTGAATTTTAACGTTAAAAATATTTTATTGTAATGAGAACTTAAGTATACAGATTAAGTAATTCAAATATGTTTGAATTCAATTTTTCAATTTTTAGCGTGCCAGACAGTGCATCTTTTGATGTATACATTTCTTTTCTATCTACAAAGTTTATTTTATATCTACAACAAATGAAACTGTACAGTAAAATCATTTATGAGGCTAGGTATGAAGTGCTGTCTAAAATATTTCTAATGTACACTGGGCATGATATACATTTTTGTTTGTAAATTTTTATCCATTTTAAGTCAT